TGAAGCGTTTTGAGACGTCTCGAAGACGTGATAAGACGCTACATCAAATGCAAGGATTAATATTATCATTATCTGTACTGTCACTGTCTCTTACCTCTATCTATCTCTGTCTTACTCGTTAAGTATGTTAGAATGGCGAGCGGAGGGAGTGTATGGGGTCTTTAAAATAATATTTGTTCTAAAAGCCCCGAGGGTTAAACACAGGGCCTGGCCTGGCTGAGAGGGGCTAAAGAAAAGTTTCCAAAGTCTGTGATGACCAGGGCAGCAGTAAGTGCTTACAACTGACAACTGGAGTCTGTTTGGAGAGTGCAACTGTGAGCTGGCCCAGCTCCTGCTCTCTGGCGCTCACTCACATCGCTGCAAAAAGAAAGTTGGCAGCCATCGCTCTTGCTTTTAATAGTCCTGGAAAAACCATCAACAGCTATTCTATGCCACAGCGATGGGAGTGGGGGGGGGGGGGGAAGGGGATGGGAGCAATCCCCATCCCACCCCAGGGTTTGGTGTACTTGCTCATTCACATTGAGCTGCATTGTACACACTGGAAATACCTCATCAGTGATCAGAGTCACGCAGTGTCTGGAGTACGAAACCAACAGCGCTGTTGAGGTTACGTTGGTTATTTCGGGAGATTTTGGGAGGGGGACAGGGTGGGGGATCGGACCGAGTGGGAAGGTGTAAGACCAGGAGTAGAATAAGCATTTGATATAACGCCTTATGTCAGCGAGACGTCTCGAAACACTTCACAGGATTTTTTTTCACTGTGGAATGCAGTGAACATTGGCCGTGCAAAAACGGGCTGCTGCCTTCACCCATAAAATAATATTAAAAAATAATAATCCTTGCCTTTGATATAGGGCTTTATCACATCGTTAAGACGTCTCAAAGCAGTTTACAGGATATACTGTAAAGTGAACTGACTGTTCATTTTGTGGGCGAAACGCGGGAGCCAATTACCCAGTTACAAATACACAGTCACTACACTTCCCAGTAGAAATTCCCCTGAAGCACTTTGAGATGACGAGGTGATGAGGTGCTGTACCAAATGCAAGGATAAGCAGTAATATTATATATCGTTATCTGTTCCTCTGAATCAGTGTCAATCGGTTCTGCATCGCCAATGTGTGTGCAGAAGATTAAGAGTGTGCATCGTTCCCACAGTTAAGCGCTCTGAGACGCTACTCTGCGTGCAGGGCTCTATATAAGTGTTGTTGTTGTCGCACAGGAGAGCCCGGCTGGCTTTTGACCATTCTGTTGTATATCGTAAGGATCAGATATCTCAGCTAACCTTGTGCTCGTATCACTGATAGTCAGACAAGGCAGAGGCGGCCAAGATTTCCTACCTCTCACTTTTTAAATAGCCCCATCTCGCCTTTACACCATCTTACTAAAATAGCCCTGGCCTCTCCAGCATTGACTGGAACAATGACCTTGGATGCTGGAAAGATGATGGCCGACGGCTGAAGAGCCTTATTTTTAAATTCGTGAATAACTGTTCTACGCTTGTTATTGTCAAATAATTTTTCCAGTCGGGTATAGTTACTCTTTTCTGTCCAATTTTCCCTTTATCTTGGCATTACACACTAACTGTGGTCCAGTGGGAGTGTGTGTGTGTGTGTGTCTACACATATATATTAATTTGGAAAGCGGGGTGTGGGGGGAAAATGAAGTCTGTATAATAGGCCTGTGCTTTCCTTAGAATAATAGAAATCATACAGAACAGAAAGAGGCCATTCGGCCCATCGTTTCTGCCCTAGCTCTGAAAAGAGCAATCCAACTCAATCCCACTGATCCGCTTTCTCTCCATAGCCCTGCAATCCTGTCCTCCCCAAATACCCATCTACTTCCGTCTTAAAAGTAGTTATTGAATCGGCTTCCACCACCCTTTCAGGTAATGCATTCCAGATCCCAACAACTCACTGGGCGAAATTTTTTCCCCTAACCTCCCCTCTGTTTCTTTTAACAACTATCTTAAATCAGTGTCCTCGGGTTACTGACCCACATGCCAGTGGAAACAGTTTTTCCAGGTTCAACCTATCAAATCCTCTCATGATTTTGAAAACCTCTATTAAATCCCCTCTTAATCTTCTCTGCTCTAGGGAAAATAATCCTAGTTTCGCTAATCTTTCCTCATAACTAAGGTCTTTCATTCCTGGTGCCATCCTGGTAAACCTCCTTTGCACCCTCTCCGATGCCCTAACATCTTTCGTAAAGTGCAGTGCCCAGAAGCTCTCTCTGTTCAATTGCCCCCTTTAAAATTGTACCATCAGTTTATATTGCCTTTCCTCATTCTTCCTACCAAAATGCAACACTTCTCATTTCTCCACATTAAACCTCATCTGCCACTTTTCTGCCCATTTTACCAATCTGTCTAAGTCCTCTTGGAGTCTGGTGCTATCCTCCTCCCATTAACTGACTTTCTTAGCTTAGTATCGTCTGCAAATTTGGAAATTGTGCTCCCTATATCCAGGTCCAGATCATCAATATAGATAAGAAAGAGCAGTGGTCCCAATACTGACCCCTGAGGGATACCACTACACACCTCCCTACAGTCAGAAAAGCAACCATTTACTACCACTTTCTGCTTTCTGTCTCCTAGCCAGTTCTGGATCCATGTTGCCACCATGGGCTTCTATTTTATTTGTAAGTCTTTTATGTGTTTTTGGACCCTCTCACACATCGTCCTTTCCAGGACCGTGACTGTGTCCCTAATGAGTATTAGCATCCCTCTTTTTATCCCTTCCCCATCCCTCCTGAATAGTTTGTAGCCAGGAATATTCAGCTCCCGTCCCTGTCCTTGCTTGAGCCAAGTCTCCGTAATTGCCACTACATCATAGCCCCATGTGGCAACTTGAGCTGCAGCTCACCAAATTTATTGGTCACACTCCATGCATTTACACACATACACTCCAAGACCGGCTTAAACTGCTCTACATTTCTCCCTGGTCTCTTTCCACTTTTTGCTGGGCTATTCCTTGATCATTTCTATTTGTCTCTCCTCGTCCACTATATAATTTGTTTCCCCTCCCTGATGCTACATTCTGATCCTCATCCCCCCTCAAAATCAGTTTAAACGCTTCCCCACAGCATTTGTTATCCTTGTTGCAATGACATTGGTCCCAGCCCTGCTCAGGTGTAACCCATCCCTCGTATACAGGTCCCACCTGCCCCAGAAGTGGTCCTAGTGGTTTAGAAACCTGAAGCCCTTCTTCCTGCACCATTTCTTCAGCCAGGCATTTATGTGTTTGATCCTCCTGGTTTGGTATTCACTTGCATAAGGCATTGGGAGTAATCCCGAGATCACCACCATTGAGGTCCTGCTCTTTAGCTTCTTCCCAAGCTTCTGATATTCTCCCTGTAGGGTCTCAGCCCTTTTATCACCTACATCTTGGATCCCGACATGGACCACAACTTCTGGATTTTCCCTTCCCCCTGTAGTATATTTTGCTCCTGTTCCGTGACGTCATGCATCCTGGCCCCAGGGAGACAGCATACCATGTGTGAGCCCCTTCTTTTATGGCAGAAATGCCCGTCTACTTTAACTATTGTATCCCCGATAACAATAGCATTGGCGTTTTTCCTCTTGTTTCCCTGAACATCTGTTACCTTTTGACTCTTCTCGACAGACGCATCCTCACCGGTATCCAGTACCGAGATCTGGTTTGTGAATGCCACACTCTTAGGGGATTCCTGTACTGCCTGTTCTTTTTTTGCTCCATGTCTGATGGTCACCCACTCACCCTTCTTCTGAGCCCTCTGTGTAGCTGGGGTGACCACCTCCTGAACTCTGTGGCTCTGAGGTGACCACCTCCTGAAAAGTTCAATCCATAAATTCTTCAGTATCCCGTATCCTATGTAGTGACTGTAGCCTTTCCTCAAACTCAGCGACCCTGAGCTCAAGCTCAAGCAGCCGGAGGCACTTCCCACACACGTGTTTGTCCAGAACTATGAACCATCCTGGAGTTCCCACATGGCACACAATGTGCATGGAATAGGTCTCAGCTGCCCTGCCAGCTTTTCAGACATGTTTTGTGGTGTTCTTCTGTGTCCTGGCCAGCAATCCCCCAAATAAAACTTGTCATTCACTTCATGGCAGTTTGTTGGACATTGCTGTGCACAAATTGGCTGTTGTGTTCACCTACATCATATCCGGTCACTGCACTTCACAGTAAACCCTGTGAAGTGCTTCAAGCCATCTGTCTGACATGAAAGTTGCGTTAAAGTCTCAGTCAGTGATTATTCAACTCTCATAGAAACCATTTACTCATAACACTCTCGGGAACACAGCATCAGCACAGGTGATCAGCACAGGTGATCAATACAGGTGATCAATACAGGTGATCAGCATAGGTGATCAATACAGGTGATCAGCATAGGTGATCAGAGCCGAATTCTCTTGTCACTTTCCTTGACTAGCACTACCTTTAGTTGTCTTTGTTGAACCCGCCCTCCCTACCCTCCACCCCTCCTGATCCCTACCCCCAGCTCGGGTGCAAATCCTTGACCGTCCAGCACCTTGGGACGTCTTCCTCACCTGAAAGGCGCTATACACATGTAATTTGTTATTGTTGACGTCAGTGTACACATGGAGCACCGGCCAGCACATAGCACTCACAGACAGTCTTCCTTCCGTTTTGCTGGGTATCAGTCACCGGGCCACCCATCAACTCGGGAACTCCCTGCCGTTAACCCTCCACCTCAGCCCCTTTCCGTCCATCTTTAAATCCCATCTTAAAACAACAACAACAAATTACATTTGTATGGCGCCTTTCACGTCAGGCGCTCGGATCTACCTGTTTGACTGCGTCTGGGGTCACCTCCCGCTCCTCTTTCACGCTTGCTGAACATCCAACCCCGCTTCTGTGAAGCACTTCGAGGCATTATCTACATAACGGGCACTATATAAATGTTGTTGTTGTGGGTTGCGCTGCTGAATTGTAATGGTATTACAAATGACCTTTTTATGCGAAGTTTGATCATTTTCATTTTTGCATCTTTTTCAGTCCTTTCAAGGAAGCCAAGGGCGAGCTTATTTGTTCAATTCAGTGTAAGTATCTTTTGTGCTCGTATAAAAGAATACATCATTGATTTTTTTGGGGTCAGCCCAGTGTGAAAACTCATCAATCATTCTTAACAGCATCCAAACCAGACATGAATGCCACCTACGCATAGATATTTCCCCGTGTCTGGAATGGAATGTGCACTCTCTCCCTGGAGGGAAGCACCCTTTCCTTACCTTGTTCCGGAGAATTTTAGACGCAGGTTAGCAAGAGGCAAAGCTTGGGGATCCCACGGTGTGCGTTGGGGTAACTGCTGGGGATTAACCAGCTAAAACCATGTAGCTTGCCATTGAGAGCGCTGTCTAGCAACCTTCCCGCTGCTTGTTCAGCTAGGACCACCCTTACCCATTAACCTTCTAGAGTTAGCAGGAGGAAAGTAGGAAGAGTTGATGCCCCCAATGATAGACCCGGCTGCCCCTCCAAATCCTGTCAATGTGTCAGGCTGTCTGCTCTGCCATCAACAGTGCCATGGAGCACTCTCTCTCCCCCACCCCACCTCCAGTATGCACCCCCATCAGATCTCTGCCCCCCCACTGTCGTTGTCGTAGCCCCCCCTTTTCTCGTCTCTGCAGCCATCTACATCTGGGTCAATCAAGACTGTCAATCTCCCAGATGACCTCTCTAGCCAAACCCATTAGTTAGCACCTTCTCCCCGTAGCTTAGCATCTCGAAGTCTGAAATGGTCAATTCTTAAATAGCATTTTACTGAGTTAAGGTGATTTCCTTCCAGGTTCATCATAAACTGCCTTCTCACAGACCCTTTCCAATTCTATTTGTGACATTTTTTACGCTGACAAAGTTCTGATTGTGTCTCCTCCCCGCCCCATTCCTGATGGGAACAGATTGAGCTCCCTTCATTCAGCTGTTCTTTATAGCTCAGTGATCTGTGACTGCTGTGTACTGCAGTGTCACTTGTCTCCTGCGTCAGATTCTTTCATGTATATTCTCATTTGGTAGATGAGATGTGGCCTTAAGGAGGCCAAGTTCTGCACATGTGCCCTCGCCTGCTCTTTCCCCTGGATTCCTGATCCATTGATCTGTGGTTAAAATTCCACTCGGATCTACATTTTCTCTTATTGATGCAGCTTTTTAGAGGGTCCAGGGGTTTGGAGAATTGTTGAATTCAATCTTAACTTTATAGTTCTTGAAAGATCAAGGCTGTGTTTAAGATTGCCAAATTCTGGATGCTCTGACACATAAATAGAGTGGACCTAAATCCAAGTCGAACTTCTCCCCCACTTATCCTATTTGCCTTAACAAATATTGGCAGATATTCCTGATCTTTGTTTATCTATCTACTCCAATCTCTCTCTCTCTCTCTCTTTCTCTCTCTCTCTCTTTCTCTCTCCCTCTCTCTGCCTTCCTTTCTTCCTTCCTTCCTTCCTTCCTTCCTTCGTGGAGCCCTATAACATAATAATCCCTTCAAAACAATAGTAATTTAAAATAAGAACGGACACTTCAGCTAATACAAGAGGCCAGTGGATCCATGATGAGTGATGTTCGGGTAACTATACCAGTCCAAGAGATTATTACATTGTATTATCTTGAGAACAAGGGTTTCTTTTAGCCGTTGTCTAAACATCTCTGAGGGTTGCTTGACTTCCTGTGTTGAAGTGTTGCTGTTTGTCTCTTGTTTTAGCGTCAATGTGGGCTGTGGACCAGCAGAGGAGCGTGTCCTGCTCACCGGCCTGCACGCTGTGGCTGACATTTACTGTGAAAACTGCAAAACTACCCTCGGATGGAAATATGTAAGTTATGTTGTGTTCTATTGTGAGGATTAATAATAATACTTGCATTTGATACAGCGCCTTATCACGTCTTCGAGACGTCTCAAAACGCTTCACAGGATATACTATTAAGTGAATTGACTCTATTTTGTGCGTGAAATGCAGCAGCCAATTGCGCACAGGTGTGTCCCACAAACAGTCGTGGATTGAGCGACCAAATTATTATTCTTTTTTAAGGAATTATTACCCAGAAAAGCGATCCGTCAGTCGACTAACAACCACGTTCCTACTTACTGCTTTACAGAATTTATTGTAAAGTGGAGTGACTGTCTATTGTAGACGAAACGGGGCAGCAGTGTCCCACAAACGGACATGGATTGAGTGACCCAATTTTTATTTGTTTATTTTAGAAACTTGCCTAAGGTTTCGTCCTGCCCGGGAATCGAATCCGGGTCCTCCCGCTTTTAATGTTCCTTTTAAGGTCCTGCGCCAACCCTCTCTGTCGTCCACCGTCCGTTTGCGTCAGCGTTCCCATCTCTCCACGAGGGGCGAGGTTTGGCAGCTCATTCGAGGTCTGTTGTTTGTCTGTCCTGCAGGAACACGCCTTCGAGAGCAGTCAGAAGTACAAAGAAGGAAAGTACATTATAGAAGTGGCTCATATGATTAAGGACAATGGCTGGGAGTGAAAGGAAGATGTGGTGATGCCGATCGCTGGGCCATTGATCCTGCAAAAAAAAACAAAGAGAAGTAACTGAAGGCTTTGGTTGCAACATGTCGGAGAGGTCACGCCACTCGGCATGTCCTCGAACCTCTCTCCATCCCTCAGCGACGTGCCTCTGTGTCTCTCTCTCTCTTCCTCTGTGTCTCTTTTGCTTTTTTACGACCTCCTTGTGGTTCAACATCCTGACTCCTCCTCCTCTGTTCCAGTGTTGCCTGAAGGAACACACCAAAGCTCAAGGGTGCAGAGTTTTTCTTTGAGTTACCACTGTTAACTTGAAGCTGTTTAGTGACATTCGCTTAGAGTAGCTTTGTCAGTGTGCAAGATTCGGCGGTGGGGGGTGTGTGTGGGGGCGGGGGGGGGGTTAAGGGAAGTAAGAAGTAGGCAGAGATTTCAGTATATCCACCTGTCCTGTTAGTACGTACAGTACTGCACAGTTAAGTATTTGTCAATAGATTTTCAGAGACTGGTTCACTCCGAGCATATGGTGCTGCAGGTCTCAGCGATAAGGTGTAAGGAAGTGTCGTCACTGATGTGTCACTTTATACTGGGAGGGTTTGGGGGGGTGGGGGGGATTACTTATTTTGCATTCCCAGCGTTAAATCGCCCTTTGCTGTTTATTGAGGTCGGGTGATGCAGTAATACATTGCATTGTAGTGACACGAATGAATTGAGCAGCGCCTCGGAAGACATAAAACCGCTAAATCTTTTGTTTCACAATTTGATCTTGAACGATCGATCGATCCACACACGATGGGTGGACGAACAAGTCTGTTGATTGCGGTGGCAGACACCGGCCCTTAACATCGACGCCTGGGATGAGTATACCCTGTCTATTGGGTACATTTCATTTTTATGTTATTGGCTCTGTAAAAAGGTGGTTAAAGGCAAAGGCCTCACCAGCTTGCGATGTGCTCCCTGCAGCTGGTGCATCTTTGTACAGGAGTCATTGTGGTTTTGTGAGGAGAACAGGGCAAAGCAATAGTACCCTTCGTAACAGGAGCAAGAGACAGGTGGATATCGGAAACCCTGGGGGGAAAAAAACCTGCCCCCACTGAGAACAATAATCTGCATGTGCTTTCTAAGCCTATTAGACGGGCATGGAGAATCCAGCAAGAATGAAAGTAGTCATTCCACAGCGGGGAGATGTATACGAGTTTATTGGCCGATAACGAGAGAATAAGGAGTCCCTCCTGTAAATCTGGTAACAACAGTCGTAGAAGGGAAGAAACATCCTGTCCCTTTATTGTTCATTGTCCAAAAATGGTAAAGATACGTGGAAATATTGGGAAGGAGGAGGAGCGAGGGTTACATAAAGCATGAACAATATACTGTGAAATTGTCACACACACTGTTTGATCTCACCAGTGTTTTCTCTATCTACACATATATATGTAAATATATATAATTCAATTATGGACTGGACAGAATTGTTTGATTGCAAGAAATTAAAATTGCCATCAGAGACTGTGTCCTTTATGCCTCTAGGATGCCTCTGGGGATGGGGAGTGAACAGTATCAGACTGTTTTGCATTATGACTCGGTTTAAATCAACTGCTCGTTAGCTAAAAGCTGGGAGTTAAGTTATTTTCATCAGCTCCCAAATTCTGCGTCTCCTCCAGCCATTGAAAGAATCTGTGAATAATTTAACAGGGCTTTGAAAGGTCCTACGAATGAAATGCAAGTGCGATTTGATCTTTCTATCGCTTTTACTTCTGTCTTCATTAAGTAGCAAAAGTAAGGCCGTGCCACTGTGTAACATGTGGCCAAAGTGTAGCGAGTCTACAACCGATATCATTGCTGAAACCCATCACGTGGACAAGAAGTCTTTTGGCCGAGTTGTCTCAGCAGTAAATAAGTCAAACAGACATACGTTGTCCGCGTATTGACCAAAGCGCCTCTTGGTTTACATACACGAGTATGTCAGTGAGCCAGTCGGCAAATCGGTACGTACTGTAAGCTTCTAATTCTGAAGGAATACACGCTTACAGTGCTTCAATTAGAGAGCTGGCTGATACGTTGGTCACAGAAACCTTTCTCGTTAATCTTCCCGGGAGGGAGAGGTGCGGAAGGCTGCAATGTTATCATTGTCCAAAAAGCCCAATGGCTACACAACCAGAGTCCGGTCAATCAAGTCAGTTGACATTTCTGTACGTGTGTTCGTAGAAAGCGTGGGGTGGGGCGTGGGTGGGTGGGTGGGGTGGGGTGGGGGGGGGGCGATCAAAATGTTGTACAATGTGTAAATATGTAACAAATGAGTTGATTGACCTTAGGATGGATGTGTTCTGGTCCAGAATACCTGTCGGATGATACATGTCCAAAGCATTGCCATAGAGCCTGTTGATGGAGTGGGCAGTCCAGATTGTTGAATATTGGAACACAACCTATTGGTTTCCATAGTTCCAACACACACAGTGCCCAGTGACCCTCTTGTGATTGGATACCTCTTAAAGATCTACATTCACCGAACACCATGGCTCCCATTGGCTACCAAATACCAAACCCATTGCCCGACAGGATCACGCTGCCCGATGCAGTGGCTGGTGGATGTATTACTCTGGTAGATAATCTCTTGTGTGATAATAATGAGCTGTCCCCTATTTAAAACACCAAAACGGTAATATATACAGAGCTTGTCTTATATTGTGTACTCTTGTAAATATTCGTATTTAAAAGATTTTTTATAATATATTCAGCAACGTCTGACCCATAACCTTGACTGAGAGCACTTTTCTGCTGTATTAATTTTCAAACTACTTTCCATAAAGTTTGTTCAGTATCATTTTGTTTTGCAAAATAGGGATGCAACATTCTTCTTTGTGTGTGTGTGTGTGTATATTTATGACTTGTTTGCCAGGCTCCATCCTGCTCAATAAAAATGCCAGCTCGCCGCAGTTGGCACAACAAATGGTGGAATGCCCTGTCTGGAAGGTCCGTGTCTATCTTTGCTGTTGGTTGGTGTTGCTTTCTGTCGAGCAAGCTGTCCCTATTTGACCAATTCTTATCCTCACGCTCACTGCTCACTCGACTAATAGCAGAAGCTGGCTTGCCACAGGCGGAAATCCATCACCGTTGCTTAAGAGTCTCCAAACCGAACTGAGTCCCACCTACACAAACCCAGAGATAGATTGTTGGAATGGAATATTCACTCTCTCCCTGGAGGGACACATCCCACTTACCTAATTCCTGAAAGTATTAGGCACGAGTTGGCAAGAGCCAAGGCTTGGGTGGGGGGGGGGGACCCCAGAGTGTGCGTTTGGGTAACTGCTGGAGTCTAATCAGCTAAACTTGCATTGATATTGCATCAAAAAAAGCATCAATAAGCCACCTTTGTACAGAACAGAAGAGGAACTTGAAATTTCACCTGATCTTAGTATATTAGGACCATTTTGTCTAAAAAAAAGTTAAGACTGTGCAGGAGAATGGAAAAATCTTGAATTAGGTGTTAATTTGGAAGTCAGGTTCTCACAGGATATAGTGAAGTCCCCTCCCTTCCTCCCTCCTCCATTACCCCATCCTCTTAAGCTCTCCCACCACCCCCACCCCCATACACACAACCCCCCCCCCCCACCCTCGCGAAAAGCACTCCTGATGTGAAAGGCGCTGCATAAATATAAATCGTTATTTGTATTGTGTTGTGCAGTTTGGGGATTCCTTAATACATGATAGTAATATTCCTTGCATTTGATATAGCGCCTTATAACATTATTTAGACACCTCAAAGCGCTTCACAGGATAAATTGCTAAGTATAGTTATTGTGAGATACTTGTTTCCTTTTCGGCAGCAGTGCAGTGAAGAGTTGGAACTAGTCTCAGCTTCGTACAGAAGCTTCTGTTTGAATCTGGCAGTGATTATTACATGGACGGTATCAATGCTGCGGGACAGACTCAGTCCCAGCCTGTTTTAAACTTTCAGCTGCTCCTTTGGACACCACAGTGTACATTAATAATAATCTTTGCGTTTGATACAGCCCCTTATCACATCCACGAGACGTCTCAAAGCGCTCACAGAATATACTGTAAAGTGAATTGACTGTATATTTGTGGGCAAAACGCTGCAGCCAATTGCGCACAGCAGCGTCCCACGGACAGTTGTGGATTGAAGTGACCAATTTATTATTGTTTTTTTTCTTCAGGGATATTATCAGGTGTGTGGAGTAAGAAAACTTGCCCGTGATTTTGCTCTGCCGGAATCGAACCCAGGTCTCTTGCTCGCGAGGCGAGTGCCCTAACCACTGAGCTACACAAACTCCGCAGTATTCCTGCTGCACACACAAAACCCAACTTTTCAGGCTTTTGTGCTTTTTATTTAATACTTGAAATAAAACTCGCAGAGCGCTGCGTTAGTTGGTTGTTAGTCGATCTGCGGATCGCTTTCCGGGGGTAATAATCCCACACTCCATATATAAAAAAAATGTGGTCATTCAATTCACGACTATTTGTGGGTGTCACTGCTGTGTGGTATAAGTTGCCACGTTTGGCCCACAAAATACACAGCCAATCCATTTACAGTATATCCTGTGAAGTGATTTGAGACGTCTCAATGACGTGATACTGCTGTATATCAAATGCAGGGGCTGTTATTGTTAGTGCGCTGCCCCTCAGCCTCTGGTACCTGGATTTTCATCCAATTCCAGGCTGTTGGCTCAAAGGCTCTTACATATGAAGTGAGTTTTGAGACCGTCTTGAGACCGTCTCAACCCAGTTCCTAACGGACGTGAGCCCAAAGCACAGAACGTCCTCCAGATTGTCACCAAAGTGGCGTCTCTGAGGTAGATTGCTCAAAGGTTGGTTGGCATAGGAAATGGGAATGTCATGTTTATACAGTGGTACAGTGGGAGTGGGGGGGATTGCCGCAGCGCTCTTGTGAGGTTAAGAGACTCAGGCACAGAATAGAAGAAGCTTTAATTATTAAATAATATGATTATTGTTAGCGCATCGCCCCTTAATCTGCATCTAACTGCACCCTACCTGGCTTTTAAGTATTTATTGCCAAACTAGGAACGCATTCAGTTTTTCCAGCGGCCCTCACCATAAAGAGAAAAATATTTGTGGAGCAGTGCGGGGAGGTTGAAAGCAACTCTAATCCAGGCTATCAGATTTCCCATTGTTACATCCCTCGTGCAATAAACAGGAAGGTATTTTGCAAGCTGGGTGTCGCAGACTGAAATCCCTTCCATCTGCTGAGAACTGACAGAATATTAGTAGTAATAATCCTTGCATTTGACAATGCCCTTATCACGTTGTTGAAAAGTCTCAAAGCACTTCTCAGATTATACTATAGAATCATAGAATTTTACAGCCAGAAGGAGGCCATTCGGCCCATTGTGCCTGT